GAGAGAGAGAGAGAGGGGGGGGGGGGGGGGGGGAGAGGGAGAGAGAGAGAAAAGGAGAGAGAGAGAGAGAGAGAGAGAGAGAGAGAGAGAGAGAGAGAGTGAGAGAGAGAGAGAGAGAGAGAGAGAGAGAGAGAGAATAGAAGAGAGAAAGAGAAGAGTAATGATACTTAAAATAATCTTTAAAAGTGGAATTGTCGGCCATCCTGAATCGCCATTTCCTGTCTGAAGTGAATTATACAAAAGATTTTTCGCGGTGCCTGAGTGGCCTTTCCTGAACCCGGACTATGTTCTGCATTTTTCCGATTGAAATAATGTGTTTTCGCTCCATTTTTCAAATAATCAAACAACCGTTCTATGGAGAGTGATTGTGGCTACAACTAACTTTTTCGAGTTCGTTTTCTTATCTTTTATTTCTTTACGAATAGTCTAGTTTATATATTGTCTAATTCATATATCGTCTAATTCATTTATAATAATCTATATATCGTCTAATTCATATATTGCTTTTTTCTTCAAAAATACCACGTTTAAATATTCATTTTTTTTTTTTTTTTTTTTAAATACCAACACTTTTTAATATCTGTTTCCCTATAAGCTCGTAGCTCAATGGCCCCGCCCCAAAGTACGTATTCTCAGGTAACTGTCTTTCGTGTAGTTTCCAATAGCTTTATATTCGTATCCAAACGCAAGTATAGAGGATTGAGAGGAACATAGAATTCCCTTTGCTAAAGGTTCATTGATTACCTTCACTCGAAATAGATCCTAACGTTTAATTGGCGGAATTGAATGAAAAATATTATTGCAACTTCTCTCGGTTTGGAGGAGAGAGAGGTGAGGGAGAAGAAGATGAGGGAGAGGAGAGGAGAAGGAAAGGGAGGAAGGAGAAGAGGAGGGAGGGAAGAAGGTAAAGGAGGGAGAAGAAGAGGTGGTGGAGGAGGAGGAGGAGGAAGAAAAAAAGGAAGAAAAAGAAGAAGACGGGAAAGAAGAAAAAGAAGAAAAGAGAAGAAGAAGAAATAAAGAAGATGAAAAGAAGAAGAAGAAAAAGACAAAGGAAAGAAAAAGAAGAAGAAAGAAAATAAAAAATAAACACAAACACAAAATCAATGAACAACCCCCTCCCTCCCCTCCCCCCCCCAAAAAAAACGAAGAACAGACTAGAAAAAAAGAACAACGACGAGAGATTCCGTACAAGAGCCAGCCACCCTGCAGTCGACCCGCAAGACCTCCCCGGACGCACCTCTATACCCTGAGCTCGCCCTGATTCATGCTCGACCTGGCGAAGACAACGAAAACACGAAATAGCTTTCACAGTCTAGATAGATCCTCGATTTGGGGAAGGAGGGGGTGAGGGAGATGGGGAGGGGGGGGATGAGGGAGGGGGTGAGGTAGGAGAGGGGGGGGTGAGGGGGCGAGGAAGAAGGGGGAGGGGGTGAGGGAGGAGGGGGTGAGGGGGGTGAGAGGAGGAGGAGGAGAGAGGAGATAGACTTTGAGTTAACATCGAGAAAGTGCCAGGAAATGGGCCTGTGTTTGGTGGCGGAAGGGCACTGCGCCGTTAGATTTTACTATCGAGGGAAACGGATGGGAGAAGAAAGGGGATTGAGAGGAAGAGAGGGGAGGAGAAGAAAGGGAGATTGAGAGAGGAGAGGGGGAGGGAGGGACAGGGAGAGAGGGGAGGGAGGGAGAGGAAGAGAGGGGGAGGGATGGAGAGGAAGAGAGGGAGATTGAGAGGAGGAGAGGAGGGGGAGGGAGGAGGGAGAGGAGGAAGAGGGCGGAGGGGGAGGGGGGGAGGGAGAGAAGGGTGAGGGGGGGGGAGAGGGGATGGAATGATGGTGATGGGGGAAAGAGAGAGCGAACGAAGGAAAGGGGAGAGGGAAGGGAAGAGATGGAAAGGGAAGAGGGATGGAAAGAGGAGAGAGGGAGAAAGAGATGGATGGAGAGAAGGAAAGAGAGGGGAAAAGACGGACAGGGGAGAGAGAAGGAAAGAGGAAAGAGGAAGTCAGAGAGAGAGGGAAGAATAGAGATGAAAAAGGGAAAGAAAGAGAGAGAGAGAGAGAGAAAGGCATCGATGGATAGAGGTAAGAAAAGGGAAGAGGTGATATCAGGATAGAGTGCCGCTTAATGACTGGAATTGATAGGCTAATAAGGAGGCTGATATGAAGGTAAAAATGGATAGAAGGAAGATGTGGATTAAAGATAATTTAAAACAGAGAGGAATGCAACTAACAGGAAGAAAACAAGACACGGGAAAGTAGACAGACAGACAAACGGACTATGACATAAGAAAAAAATAGATGAAAAATTAAGAGAAAACCCTTGTAAACAAACATAGAAAAAAAAACACCGCGAACTTTCCTTATCCTTTTCTTACACAATAAAACATTTTTCAAAATCTTTTTCGCTCTCCCGCCGCTTCTCCGTGACAAGCGATAGATTGTTTTGTCAGCGCACCGTGAATGCTGAATGTCGAGATATGTTGTTTCGGTTTCAGGCTGACTTTTTGTTTTCCTCTTTGGGGATGTGGTTCGAATGCGGGTTTGGTGCGATTCGGGAGATTCATACAAAATTCGCTACACATCACGCGCGCATAACACAACTACATGCATGTACAACGAACACAAAAATACACACACGCACGAACGCACACGTACACAATACGAAACACACGCAATGCACACGCACGAGAACCATACAGACACACACACGAACACACAACAAACACCACACACACACAACAACCACCACACCAACACACACATACACACACACTTACACGCACCTACCCCCCCCCCCCCAATACACACACATATAGATACATGTATGTCTGTTGCGACGACTACATACCCAAAAATTGCAATCATTCAACAAGAATCTGGAAATGATTATTGACATAAATAAGTATATACAATCAGCACCCAAGATTTCATAATAAAATGAAACGAAACTTTTTATATCTAATAAAAAAATCCCTCCTCAGTGTATATATTCTTACGCATATTTAATGATTTCAAGATAAACCTCAAAACCGAAAAGAAACATACTTAAGCATTCCATTCGTTCTGTGTGCACGTGATATCGCAAAACGGTGTCAGTTAAAGAAATTCTATTTGATGTTTTCCTCCGCAGTGCATCTTTGCCTTTTTAAATTCATTACTTGCATTTTCGAGAGAGATAGAGAGATAGAGAGGGAGAGAGAGAGGGAGAGAGGAGAGGGAGAGGGAGAGGGAGAGGGAGAGGGAGAGGGAGAGGGGAAGGGGGAGGGGGAAAGGAGAGGAAGAGGGAGAGGGAGAGAGAGAAGAGAGAGAGAGAGAGAGAGAAGAGAGAGAGAGAGAGGAGAGAGAGAGAGAGAGAGAGAGAGAGAGAGAGAGAGAGAGAGAGAGAGAGAGAGAGAGAGAGAGGGAGAGAGGGAAAAGGGATAGGAAGAGGGAGAGGGAGAAAGAAGAGGTGAGGAGAAAGAGAGTTATAGAAGGTGAAAGAGAATACACAGATAGAGATAAAGAGAAAGGAGAAGAAGGTGGGGATGGGGAAGGAGAGAGAAAGAGGGCAAAAGAAAGACAGGCAGATTACCGAGACAAAACAGATAAATAGATATTTATGAATAAGACAAATAACGAGGAAAAGGGTAAAAATGAATAAATGAATGAATGAGCAAATAAGTAAGCATATGAGTGAATGAATATGCAAAACGACAAACGAATCATAAAAAACGAGTTTGAATTACACGAAAGAAATAAAATATAAATGAACATAAATTAAATATTTCCATCAGTAATCTATCTAATCCAGCCACAATAACAGATAAGGAACGGATATAATAGATTTTTTTGTATGTGTGTTTAATAAATCCGAAAATAAGTATCAAGAAAATTCTTCTTTTTTCTACTTCTTCCTTCTTCTTTTTCATCCTTAACTTCTTCTTTTCTACTTCTTGTTTTTCTTCCTCGACTTCTTATTCTTAAATTCTTTTTCTTCCTTAATTTCTTCTTTTCTATTTCCTTTTCTTCCTTAACCTCTTATTTTTCTACTTCTTCCTCCCTTAACTTCTTGTTCCCCTTTTTTTTCTTCTTCTTTTTCTTCTTGTCGCACCTCGTCACTCGGAACTTCAGCTCAGCGTCACCCTAATGAAACCTAAATTAATTTTCCTTTTCATTCCAAAATGTAGACTGTTAATCAATAAAGTAATCACATTAACACCTTTCTTTAAGTTTGTAGATAATCATCAGGCGACGACTACCTGTGATATAAGTATGTGATACAGTGAAAAGGGAAGGATTAGTCTTTTGTAACGTGTTTTATTTATTAATTGATATTTTTTTTTCCTGGAGAATGAGTATGGATAGAATAAAATTAAGATCAAATGTCATAGGTAATAAATAGCTGGTTTCAGATATTAATGTTCTAGATCATAGATAAACAGTTCTTGGGGTCCTTTGATTTTCTTATTATTTATCTTATTACTATCATTGTTAATATATGATATTATAACATTATCATAGCAACATCACACACAACACACACAGAAAATAGAAAGAGAGAGAGAGAGAGAGAGAGAGAGAGAGAGAGAGAGAGAGAGAGAGAGAGAGAGAGAGAGAGAGAGAGAGAGAGAGAGAGAGAGAGAGAGAGAGAGAGAGAAAGAGCGAGAAAGGGAGAAAACAGAATACACTGCTACCAGATTAGGTGAAAATATAACATTATTTGATATTTAACGATAGTGACATCAGGACGGTCGATATAGTGAAGGCCGGTATGACATGGCTAAGGTTGCAACAATATCCTGTGCATGGTGTTTCTTCTTACGGAAATCTCAAATGAGCCATCGCATAAAATAATAATCGTGAGAAAATTGTAAATTATATAATCGGCCCACAACCCGTAGGAAGAAAGTGGGAATATGATAATAATGATGATTGATATATTAGTGATTTGTTACAGTGGATTTGATGATTGATATATTAGTTCATTCCATTTGTTACAGTGGTTATTGTTATGTTTGGTATGGCAAGATGTCTGTTTGGTTTGCTTCTAAGTTATACCTTGTGCGCGAGGAATGGTCGGGGTTAGCTTCCAAAGGCGGTGCGGGATTCGAGTGCTAGACGAGTTTTGGAAATATTTGCTTAAGACTTTTGCTTAAGACTCAATGCTTATTATTTTCGATTTTTTTTTTTACGTTAATGTGATTACTGTGCGTGTATGTGTACGTGTGTGTGTGTGTGTGTGTGTGTGTGTGTGTGTGTGTGTGTGTGTGTGTGTGTGTGTGTGTGTGTTTGAAACTAACATTTTAGAAAGAAAAAGAGAAAGAGGTAGATAGACAGGCAAATAGATAGTGATAGATAGATAGATAGAGAGAGCGAGAGATAGATAGATAGATAGATAGAGAGAGAGAGAGAGAGAGAGAGAAAGACAAAAAGAGAGAGAGATACAGATTAGAAAAAGACAAGAAAAGAAAGAGTGATACAGGCAGACAGAGAAAAACGAACAAAATTCTTGCCGAAAGACAAAACAAATAGACAGACATAGAGAGAGAAGACAAAGAGAACAAGGAGAGGTCCGAAGAGAGAGAGAGAGAGAGAGAGAGAGAGAGAGAGAGAGAGAGAGAGAGAGAGAGAGAGAGAGAGAGAGAGAGAGAGAGAGAGAGAGAGAGAGAGAGAGAGAGAGAGAGAGAGAGAGAGAGAGAGAGAGAGAGAGAGAGAGAGAGAGAGAGAGAGAGAGAGAGAGAGAGAGAGAGAGAGAGAGAGAAGAGAGAGAGAGAGAGAGAGAGAGAGAGAGAGAGAGAATGAAACGTGCTGCATTTACTCTTGAATCAATCAATATGTAATATACTAGCTAAAAATATCTTTGGGAATGATGAAGAGAGAAGATGAATAACACATGTACTAAAACATTCATATCTGGTGACATATTTATCTCTCTCTATTCTACACATTCATAAAAAATAAAGAAAATAAAAATAACTCTCCATCAGAAAACCTTAGAGAAATTACAGTGATATCAGTGCATCTGATTGATTTAACTCCAATTCATTCCTTATTACCCCAAGATATTGGTTTCGCTCTCTCACACTTCATAGAATTTTACGTTTCTCTATAACGAGGAAACCGGAAAGATAGACCGCCTTGTCGAAACTGCATTCTCATTCCGTGAAAACCGTATCAAGATGTACTCACGAAGTTACCGAGAATTTAATGTATTTTAGATTAACTGTTTTTGTTTCTTTTCTTTTCTTTTTCTTCTTTTTAAGATACGCCAAAGAGGGTGGATAGAGGGAAGGATTGGTAAAGCAATTGTTTAACAAGGAGAAGAAACTATCACAATTGGACAGGCGGAGGTGTTTGGACCGCATCACAGCTCACACATATTACACACACACAACATACACAAGCACACACAACACACCACAACACACACACACACACACACACACACACACACACACACACGCACAACACACACAGAACACACACACACACACACACACACACACTACACACACAAACACACATCACACACACACACACGCACACACACCACGCACAACACACACACACACACCGCACACATACACAACCAGGACACACACACACACACACACAGAGCACGACAATCGGCACACACACACCACACACACACACACACACAACACACACACACAACAACACACACACACACACACACCACACACACACACACACACACACACACACACACACACACACACACACACACACACACACACACACACACACACACACACACACACAACACACACACACACACACACACACACACACAACACACACAACACACACACACACACACACACACACACACACACACACACACAGCACACACACCACACACACACACACACACACACACACACACACACACACACACACACACTCCCTGACCAAGGACTCAAACTCACCAGAAGCAAACCCAAGAGAGAGAGTAGAACCAAACCTCTACATCACACAAAAAAAAAAAAAAAAAAAAAAAAAAAAAATCCCATATCAAAATGATCTCTACTCACGCTATAGCACCTTAACGGAGATTTACAATCCCCATGAACACTCGGTGGAAGAGATTTAGAAATTATTTGTTTCATTTCGAAGCTTCCGCGGTTCTTTATTTTGAGCAAGTGAAAAAGCGCGAACAAAATTTTGATATAAACTCGAATCCAGTCACAGAGTGGCAGGCACAGGGGGAAGCAGACATAAGCCACTGCATCACACGACCCACTAAGAAGATTATCTAACCAGACTAAGGATTAACTTTATGAAAATTAACAACAATAACAATCCGTACCACTACAAGCAATATCCATAACAATAACAATAACAATACCACCACCATCAACAATAACAATAACAACAAAAGCAATAAAATAACGAAGAAACACACACCAGAACTAACCCCCCCCCCCCACCGAAGCTTCTGAACCACTGAGCTCGATTCGTTTTTGAATCACTCAGCTCGACTCGTGTGTCTTTTAATTAATTTAAC